AAGGCCATCCAGGTCTCTCAATATCTCGATTTTTTGACTGCCTTTCCCGAAAAGAGCCGGAAGCTTCAGAAATGTGTTGCCAACGGTTGACTGGAAGTCGGTAGGTGATCCTTTTCCCCAGACATTTAGTCCCCGAAAAGCAACGCCTGCGACACGAGCGACAGCCTCCCCACTGCTATAGCGCACCTCATAGAAAGACTTAGCCCAGTCTCGCGCTCGGAAACAATCGCTCTGGGGATCTAGCCGGCCGCCCTCTGGGGCTTCGAAGGGTGATCCTTGGTTGTGCTGAATGGATTGTGAGGTATATCTACGAACAAGCTCGAGCACTGCCTCATCGGGTCCCGCGTTTCGCTCGGCGAGAGATGTTGTGCCATTCCCTGAACTTGAGCTAGAGTCAAGCCGCTCTTTCTCTGCAGGGGCAGTATCGGTGCCGCCTGCCTGTTGCGTAAAGGCTGTTGGAGCTGACATAGTAACGGAAGGAAAAAGAGGGCGGGATTTGAGCGTGAGGACCGGGCGCACAATCTTTGTGTGCGTGTTTATGGTCGTCCATATTATAGGTTATCGTACATGGGCATCAAGGGAATTTATGACCAGGGGCTCTGCGCTTTCCAAGACTTTTTTTCCGGAATTCCAGACAAAGCCAAGTCATTTCGTGACTCCTGTTGTCGTGATGCATTAGAGTGGGCCGTTGCTTCCAATTTTCGAATATTACAGTGAGAGCGCTGCTGTCACGGATTGTTGTTGGAAGCCGAATGTCCGGTTTGGCTTTGTGTGGGGCAACAGGGCCTTTTATGATTGGACAAGCTCCACGGCTCCCGCGGCATCCGGAGCACCGAATGTCCATTGGACTCCAGGCATACAACGATGATGACCCAAGATCCGTCATCACCTCACCACAAATCTAGGCATTCACTTGGCTGACAGAGACCCCAATAACTGGATACTACTAATTAGCGACATGGTCCACATCTGGGGCCGCATGTGCATTCAGAGATCCGGACCCGGACATATGCAGAGCGGCTTGCAACACGACAGAACTGCATCTGTCAGTGTCAAACACTATGAGGCTCGCTGTATGCATCACATGTGTACCTTTAGAGTACTCCGCTGATCTCTGTGTATAGTGTCTGCGCTGTAAGCGCAAAAAGGTACGTTCTTCTTAGGCTAGTTGGAGGAGCAGGAATGTCGAAGTGCTCGCGATACATGGCGTCGCTACGATCGTAGTCCAGCTCAGGGTCGAGTCTGTTGGATGTATGCTCGCTGAGAATCTTCAAGGAGTTGCATGAGTCGGACCTTCAGCTAGGAAGTCTCCAGCCGCGAAACTCTCCATGTCCCGTTGCTCACGCTGTAGGTTCCGGAAACATGACGTACTAACGAAGTGCAGGTGAGGTGCGATAAAAGTGATCCTGCATGTCACCAGTGTATCACAGCCAAGTCAGAGTGTCAATACGTGGAGCGACGTCAACGACCTCGATTAGCTCAACACAGAGTTGTGGTCACTTCTCTCAGCCAACGGCTCGAGCTACTTGAAAAGCAAATTAGTAAGGTCGGCAATTGTCCGGAATCTACACAGCAACGATCACCGTCAGGATCGACATCTCTGGACGACTCTACACCAGACCCTATAGATCCAGGTGCTGCAAGCATAGTTGCAGAGTCGTCTCCAAGTGTCGTGTTCCAAGCTCCTGAGAATGCTCAGGATTCTTGGATTTATCGCATGGCGAACGATACGAAAAGATGTTTCCAGTCCCAGGCCACTCCAACCAACACTCCAACTCCGCAAGTCGACACTGTCATGTCGTCACTTAACGATGCCCTGGAGGACCTCGGCAAACTCAAAGTTCGAGCTGGCTTGACTCAGTCGAAAGTCAACTTGAGTATCGCCCCTGAAGAAGCACGTCAGTGCATCGAAGCATTCATCGATATGATGAACACGCTGGTAGTACCGGACATCTTCACGACAGCTCTCGACGTTGAACTCCTGAGGACACTTCCAAGTATAATTGGCTCGCCTTATGTCAAAGTCGATTCCGGCCTCCATGTGATGTACTTTGCAGCACTTCATTATGGTTTGCACCAAACTAGGGGGCATGAAGATCTACTCACGCAAGCAGCGTATCTGAAGGCACTCGAGCATGTTCCCGCCTGGCTAGATACACCGACCGACACGGATATGGACGGCTACACAGCAGCGATGACGTGCTGGGTTGCGATCAACAATCTTGATTATCAGCTCTCGTGGAAGTTCCATTGCAAATCTTGCCATTATCTAAAAAGTAGAGGAATCGACAACCTCGATGTCATTCCAGCTAGGACAATGGAAGAGGAAGAGAAAAGAGAGCCACTCCGATACCTCTATTGGCATGTCTTATCCACTGATTGCTTGTTCCGTTTGTTTTATGGCAAGCCCACTGTTGTAAGTTGCCCCCTTTTGAGAGATCAAATCAATTCCCAGAAGGCACCCAAAATAAGACTGTCCGACTTTCCAGGATTCAGGATCACACGACTAAAGTGTGCGTTGATTATCCGGACAATTCTTAACTTCAAGTTTCAGGACACAGTACAGATGGAAAGGTGCTGAGCCTGGACATTTTTTTCGGCGTGGGATTTGGCTCGCCGACAGTATAGACTGACTTTGTGCTAGATGCGATGGAAGCCGAAGAGTGTGAGACCACCGCCTGTTTTAACCTCGAGGAACCTGCACCCTACTGCAGCTCAGGTCATGATAGCGTGTGTTTGGACGAGCTACACGGGTAAGTAGATGCCAATTCAAGTGAGCAGCCCAAAAGCACTGCTGACAATTTGGGGATTCAGCTAGAGTAGTTGAGGTCATTAATTACATTGACAGCACTGAGCATCAAGACTCCAGTGTATCACAGAGAGTAAGTGAATGCTGTCATCAAATTGAAGCATTGATAGCAGAATGGAAAATGGAAGCGATAATGGCAGATCCTGCCTCATCATTCCAGCTCCGCTGCCTTGTCGCCGACCATGTTATGAACATTTATGCCTTCATAATCGGACTCAAAAGGCTCGAGACCCGCCTTAACAGTGTCGACCCACTGAGTGTGCGCGCGGCGCGGAAGGTCGTCAGCACTTTGCTGGATTTTGAGACAACTGGCGTTGGGGAGGAAGGGGTAAAGATTGATCCATCCAAGTTCATCTTCGTTCAGTAAGTCGTGGTTCCTCATGCGGTTTTTGTACTTGACTTCTATTCACAAAGCTTCACTACCTTTTAGTAGCGTCGCACAAGCTGCTTCATTCACAGAGATGAATTTTGCCGCGAGCTGCGCCAAAAATCAAGCTGTACTAATGCTTAGATCTAGTTTCATTCTCTTCTATCCATTCTGCGCCGTCTTTACTCTGTACGAGTACATCGTGGACTGCACCAACCCAGACGACTGCGAGGCAGATGTGCGTCTACTCGAGCAGGTCGGCGATGCTATGGAACACACAAGCACGACCGTCCGCACGGATCTGAAACCTTTCGCGAAAACCATCAAAGCCTTGAACGAAGTGTCTCGGGTCATACAGGATTGTCGGCGTAATAAGAGAGCAGCTGCAGCACAAGTGCTATCTGCGGATCCCAGTGGCACCCAACGGCAAACAGATTCTTATCACAACATGATCATACCGACCCTTAACCCTTCCGCCTTCGACACTTTTCCCGACTTCCCGATGACCATGGACGGCGATCCAGATCCGCTTGGCTTCGTTCGAGCCATGGAGAATGACTTCATATGCCGCAATTGGCACGAGGACTGGTGGGATATGAGCGGTGGCGCAAACAATGGAGTGGCATACTTACCTGACGAGTGAGTCTCAGAAGAGCATCGTAAGACTATGATCGGTACTGACGAGGGTTCAGCATTGCGCTCGGGCAGCAGCAGCCAGCCTATTCCATGCCAACACCGAACAGCGGACCGCCAACCACTTGACTGAGCGACGATACGTTGGTGTGTGCTCAAGAAATGGAAGCACCGCGGAGAAGATGCAACAATCACAAAAGTTGAGATACACCTGCCTAAGCAGTGAGGACGCCCCAGCCGGACACACACCGCGCAAGCACGTAGGCAAGGAAGGCAGTAGTCTAGCCAGAAACCATCCATCATGAATCACTCAGGCCTTGCACGTCAAAGAAAGTGGCGAGTGTCGCACATCCTTCGACTTGTTATTAAACCACGAGCTCAAACTCAGATCGTCATGCGATACCTCCACATAAACTCAGACAGCGAGACGAAGCTTACCTCGTGAAACACCAGTACGCTGAACATCAATTAAAAGTCAACGCATATCTCTACTCTATGAAAACGACGTGATGGACAATCCCAGCCAGACTTTCTCCAACATCGTGTACTTTGAAGTAAATCTCTTGGGAAATTATAAAAGCATGCGTACCCCAATAATGACTCGGTGAAGCCCGCAGTGCTCATGATTAACGATATATCGTTCGTCTCTTCTTACCAATGTCCCCGACTAGAAATTCTGAGAGGTGCACGAGACTCCATTGTCTCCATCCCGATCAACAGAACCGACGTCGTTGCCGCAACAAAATATTACAAAAGACACTCGATACCGTCCAAGACACGTATAGAGTCCGTGTCTTCGGACCATGCTGCTCCCTGTGCGGCGGTGTGCGGCAAGAGCGTTGCAATGCCGGTGGCTGACTTTCGGCGACCCAAACGCATCGGCCGCGCTAATCGAATTCTCCTCGACCTCAAAGGCATGGGAGTTTCCTCGACCTACAACGCTCTGCCCATACAGATAGAGCGATGCTGGCACTCTCTGAGATATCGCAAGCGCATCCACCATCTCCCTGAAACAAACCCAACCGTCAATACAGCGGAACAAGCTCCACAAGATGAGTTGAGGAGGCAAGACCCCACCCCCAACATCACAACTTTATATATCCTAATTTTCATGTCTCTTCCATCAACCATCCAAAGGCACTTTGGGTAAGCAATCACCACACAAAGAAGAACCACAAACAGTCGCTAACAGAAAATTAGCGGAGTGGTTAACGCGTTGGCCTGCTACCTTTCTCATCACCGAGATCGGAGTCAGCCAATTCCTTCGGGAGCGTGTGTTCGAATCACACAGGTGTCGCAATATCTTTTTTTGCTTCAACGATTGGCTGAGTGATGCCTTTGGGGATTGTGAGCTGTAGCTATAGGATGTCGAGGTTTTTCTTCTTGTAATTTTTGGCAGCCGCTGCGTGGTGATTGTCGGATTGTGGAAGCAGCTGGTTCTGTTTTTGGTTGTAGAGATATGCTGGTTGTAAAGGATCAAACACTTGCATATAGAGACGATGGATTCGTTCAAATCTCCACTACATTTCACACTGCACGAGGTCGCTGTGTGAGCGTCAGCGTCATGAAGAGAGTCGGTGGTGGTATCTAATTGTGCGTTCGTGTCTCCGCAACGTTGGTATATATTACAGTATATCTCAATACACCCCTCTTCACTCCCTGCCCAACTCAACGCCCAGGGTTCATACCAGGCAACAAATCCGGCTTGTCAAGCCACATGCCCCTCAGCAGACACAGCTGCCTCAGCCCCTCCCACTCCTCGCCCTCCTCGCCACCCCGCTTCCACAGCTCCTTGAAACCCCAGGCACACGCTATGCGATCCAGGGCCGCACGCTCATCGGCCCTGACGTAGCGGTCGAGCAGAGGCACACCGGGTCTCCAGACGACTCGGTCGTGGTCGTCGTTGTAGGTGGTCAGGGCGACGAAGCCGAGTGTGCCGGTGCACATGACGTAGGTGCTGATACCGGCGAATGCGTACATCTTGAAGGTCCAGGGGTCGATGTAGCCGCTGTAGACGGACATTTCTTGGGCGATCATGTAGATGGCGAGTGGGGTCATGGCGGCTAGGACACCGGGCAGGCCCATCTTGGTGAGCATGCGGTGGCGCTTCCAGGCTGATGTGCGGTAGGTGTGATCGATGACCGCGAGGGCGAGGGACATGTCCTTCGCGTCAATAGCGGCTGTTAACGACTCTTCGGCGAGGTCCGCAGGAATAGCTTGCGATGCGGCCTTGGGCGAGGGCTTGGAGAACTTGATTGGAGAGGAGCCTTCTTGCGGGACAGGCTTGTTGGCGTAGAGATAGAGGATTTCGGGGATGGCGTGTGGGCGGTTGAGCAGGCGTTGCAGGCGGATGTAGATCTTGAGCACGTTGGGGCCAATGAAGACATTGGGGTGCTTCAGAAAGCCTTCAGCGAGTCTCGAGAGGTATGCTGGTGTTGGGAGCTCGTTCAGGCCGAGTGGTTTTGTGTAGGTCTTCTTCTGCTTGGGTGTGTCTTCACTGCCGAGTCCAGAAAGTATTGCGCCGGCCGAGCTCTGTCTGATGGTCGTTTTCGTGGGAGGGGGCTGCTGTGACCGTACAGCTATCGCAGAAAATGCCACCTCTTCCAATCCCTCCAGCACTGCGTATATCGACTTCTCTGGTTTCCCCTTGTTCGATTCGAAGATGGCCTTGATCTGTGCCTCCACTTCCGCCAGCCGCGTCTTCACCGCAGCAACCGAGTCTGAGGTCGAGTGTGGACTGGCAGCAGTCTCTGGGAAGTCTGCTTGCTCGACATTCCGCCAGTTGGTCTGGATGTGGCGGGCGGAAATCCGGGGTGTGGCAGCTTGTGATCGAGCTGCTTGCCTCCGTAGCGAGGGGGTCTTCAGGGTCGAGGCGGCGAGAAAAGTGCGCCGCGACAGAGGCTGCTGGCGTATGTAGTCGCACAACTGGCACACAGGACGCGACGGGACGCGCAGGGGCAGGCTCCCGGGCTTCATGGTGGTGGGCGAGCTGGGTGGTGGACTGCGGCTCCGTTCCGACAAGTGACGAAGCTTGCGGTTGTGCGGCGGTGCGGTGGTCGCTGCCAAGAGGCTGGCATGCGCGAGTGACGAATGCCTTGAAACCCAACCAACGAACACGACACTCCCTGCACACCAACACGCGCCTCCAGGCAGCAGGATCCCGCCAAACTGTCTGCATTGCTTGCACGAAAGAGAAGGAACCGCAACACCACCGCCAGAGGAAGCACACGACACGATGCCGGGCCCTCCACCTCCCCCACCCCCCATGCCACCAGGTATGGGCCGCGGTGCTGGAGGACCGCCGCCGCCGCCGCCAATGCCTGGAATGAAGGCGCCCGGGGCAAAGCCGCCTTCTGGTGCTGGAAGAGTACGTCTGAGCTCCATTTGCAGCTGCGACACATGCCCGGATAGGTCGGCATCAGCACAGCAGAGCGCCAGCTAACAGGTCACAGGGAGCGCTGCTGGGAGACATTAGCAAGGGCACGAGGTTGAAGAAGGTTGGCGTGGTCAACGACCGGTCCGCGCCAATCGTAGGCAAGGTCAAAGATGCTGCGCCAGCAATTGGGGGGGCGCCGCCCGTGCCTGGCATGGGAAGACCACCTGCACCACCGGGAGGTCTTGCGCCGCCCGTACCAGGAGGCGGAAATCGGGCGAGGAGCAACAGCGACACAGGAGGAGACAGTGGAATCGCTGCACCGCCGCAGCTAGGAGGGCTGTTCGCTGGCGGCATGCCCAAGTTGAGGAAGGCCGGAGGTGTCAACACCGGCGCTGACACCAAGTCGCCGTACATGTCAGATCCAGAGACACGAAGCTCCGCGCCCACACCTCCGCGAGGAGCAGCACCACGACCGCCAGGCGCCCCTCCGCTTCCTCCTGGGGGTGCCCCGCCCGCGCCGCCCATGCCCGGCGCACGACCGCCGCTCAAGCCTGTTGGCTCTCTTGCCTCGAGTATCAGCGGGAAACCGAAACCACCTCCGCCGATTGGCAAGAAGCCGCCGATGCCTCCTCCCTCGTCACGAAAGCCTTCAGGGATGGCGCCCCCGCCCCCAGCGTCGCC